TTTTACATGTAATGGAATGTACAAAATAGTATGAAATATAAAGTAAAAATATGCATAAATTAATAATCTAGGCATTTATTATATATTATATTATTTTTTTCGTAGATTTTTATAGATTAGTATGGATTAGCAATCACTGGTTCAGGATTTAGCCGACCGCTTTGGTTTGGATAATGATTAAAATGTACTTATAATAATGATGATGATGATTTAAGAATAATCGTAGTTTTTAGTATCATATAGTCTAATTTAACTTCAAAATAATTCATATATCAGTGCGTTATATATAATTTTCAATAATTTCACACTTTAATTCAATAGACATCACCTTTGTTTTTGGCCCCATGGTTATAAAAATAAATAATATTTTATAAATGTACAAAATTAAGAAACACTACTTCAACATATATATATATATATATATATATATATATATATAAATGAAATGACTTTATGAAATAAATTACCATCGCAAAACAGTCTAAATATTTCTATGGTTGGAAAACCATGATATTAGTTAATTTCAGCTTCAGTAAAATGACTTGCCAGCATTATTTAAAAAAATTTAATAAAATTTGTGTCTAATTATAATTCTAATTTGATACTTTTTCAAAAAAATAGTTAGAGTTTTGTTTTGTAAGAAATGATATTTCGATATGGGTATTTAATTTAATAATTGGATAGTTATTTAATGAGTAATTGATTGAACAGGAACAAGTCACCACATAAACAAATATTTATCATTTATAATATTAAATCACCAGCAAAAAAAATATTAAATAACGAGGGTAAATAAGATATACCCCAGATTGAAAAATTAAATATAAATAATAACCATAGATAAAAGAAGAGTATAATAACATTCATTCAGTTCAACGGCCTCGACAGTTTCAGAAAATCAAACTCAATTACAATTTTAATGCTGATATATTTACCTAATAAATTTATATAAAGTATTACAAATATCGGTTGAAAAATAACTAAAAAATATAATGTATTACCAAATTTAAAATATGTTCAGAAATTTAATGCATCTGAAAACAATTCACTTAAAATTTGAACTTAAATGATAATGTATGTTTAATTATTAGTAAGAAAAATGTAATTCAGAACTTACTATTGCCAGAAAACAACTACTTAAGTCATAAAGTTTATAAGGAAAATTATGGGCAATGAATGAAAATAAATTAAACTGTTGACAATAAATTCGTTTTAAAAAAATTATAGTGTATAATTTTTAATATACATAATTGTAATGAACATACTTCGATATATTTGGCAAGCATATTTGTTTGTTTGACATGTTTTTATGTGGCTGATGTGGTTTAAATCAGTCTTTAGGGTTACTCAGTATATATATATATATATATATATATTATATATTAATTTAGAAATATGAACAAACAACACTTTTTTGCACTAATTTATTAAATAATAATTTTACAAACGTTTTGAGACTAGGTTTGTCTCATCATCAGTGTGTTATAATTTAAAATCTAAAATATGGAAATCTAAATTAGCATTATATATATATATATATATATATTATAAATATATATATATATATATATATATATATAACAATGGCCCTGGTTATCAATAAATGCATATAATTTAATGTTTACTGTATATTTCATACTATTTGTACATTACATGCAAGAATATTTTATGACATATTCAATTTAACAGATACGTTTAGATTCATTGATTTTCATCACGCTCCCGACTATGAAGTGCCATGTGTTTCTTTAAATTGCCTGATTGATTAAATTCCTTATTGCATATTTCACATTTATAAGGCCGGTCTCCATGTTGAATCTGTAAATGTTCTTTTAGAGAACTTAATCGTTTGAATGCCTTATTACATTTATTGCATTCATGGGGATGTACTTCATTGTGTATCAGCATGTGACGTTTCAGATCGCTTGTACGTATGAATGCTTTATTACATATAATGCACTTGTGGGGGCGCTCATCACTGTGAATGGGCATGTGATTTTTCAGACTACCTGATTGTGTGAATGTCTTCTTGCATATACTGCATTCATGGGGGTGCTCACCACTGTGCACGAGCATGTGTCTTTTCAGATGGCTTGTTTGTATGAATGCCTTATTACATATAATGCACTTATGGAGACGCTCACCACTGTGAATGAGCATGTGAACTTTCAGATAGCCCAATTGTTTGAATGTCTTATTGCATACATTGCATTCATAGGGACGCTCACCACTGTGAATAAGCATGTGTCTGTTCAGACAGCTTAACTGTCTGAATGTCTTATTGCATTCATTGCATTCATGGGGACGCTCATCGCTATGAATAAGCATGTGAGTTTTCAAAGCAGTTGATTGTTTGAAAGTCTTTTCGCAGATTTCACATTTGTAAGGGCGTTCTTTGGTATGGTTAGGCAAGTGATCGACCACATGCTTTGTTAGATGATGGGATTCTGCAAATGATTGATTACAAATATCACATTCGAAAGACTCCTGTTTGACTTCATCTTCAATTGTCACCTCGGAATTCATAAATCTTTCTAAACACGTATCATCGTCTTCAGAAAACGATTCAGATTTAACAGTAACATCTTCAATTTCGAGTTTAATATCTTCCGGTATATATTCTGGCGGTTCAGTTTTAATTGCCTGATCATTCATAGACTTAAAAGTTTCTTCTGACATTTTGAAATATTTTCACTGCTTGTACTCACTAAATATTTAAAAACTATTCGTATTCTAAATAACGATCTGCTTTAATCAACAATCTTTTAAAATGTGATAAATGATTTCAACTAAATACAATTTGACATGTGAAGCGTGAAAGTGAAGCATAGAGTAATGCTTTTATAAAGATGAGACATTAATCAAACAACGTTGATAATTAACGAGTGGCGCGTCTTTTCAAATAAATTATGATTTTCATATGGTTCTCAAATGTCAATAAACGTTTTCATTATTAATAGGCAAAAAAATAAACATAAATAGCTTGATTTGTAAAAAAAGATTTTACGTTGTTTCGTCCTTTTCATTTCTCTATCAATCTAATTTGAAAAATATTCCTCATATATATTTTTTTAAACACTTCTTTACTAAACACAGTACTTAAATAAATTATTAATTAATAATTATAAATAATTATAATGTACAATGTTATGTAAAAATATATATAACTAATATTAATAATGAAGTATTTCATTCAGGAAAATCATTGTTACAACTGACAAAATGTATCATATTTTCATTTTCTCATTGAAATTTTAAGAAAGCTTTTACTTACTTGCTTAAAGTTTGTACTTCGAATTTTACTCGTATGTCAAAGCAACGAATCGCTTCTTTAGCGGCTAGTATCTCGAAAAATTCGTTTGTCAGGTATCAATATTCAGACTTTTTATTTAAATTAATTTGATAATAAAAATTAACAACTTAATTAACTTAAAATGCATGTACAATATAACAATTAAAAAAAAACTAGAAATATTAAATTAATTAGACATCTTGGCTTTATTACTCAGACTTGTTGATGATTTTTCTTTATTCAATCTTGCTCTTCCGGGCTGATATATTGCCATACTGATCGATCCTGCAACAAAAAATAATAATTGAACTATAAATTAAATCCTTATACTTGCTTTTGCAAACCTTATTCCTTATTCTGCGTTCAGTCCTGGGATCAGATTTTTTTTGAATCCTTAGGTTTTACATCATCGATTTCTCTAGCCTGATTGTTCATTGTGTTGTCCCTCACTTGGTTTAGTAGAATCCGTTTTTTCCTGATCATTTTCCTTATTTATTTCTTTCTATTTAATTTTTCCAAAGGTTCTTCACTGTTTGCTTCACAAGTGCTATCAATAACTGAATCACTTTTTGATGTATTTACCACATTTTTGACCATAGCATCTGATGCATCATTTTCTTCTAAACTACCTTCGACAGGATCAGAGATGTTAATATTTTTGCTTTGATCACCATCTGTGTCATCAACCTGTTTTAGAGTCTTTCACGGACTCAGTTTTATCATTATCAATTTCATTATTCTTTTTTAGCTATTTTTTGAGCTCATTTCTTCTAGCTTCTCTTTCCTTTCCGGCTTTACTATCTTTTTTGACTTAAAACTTTTTCTGAGAGCATAATCTACATATATATAAAAATAAGTCCAGTTTTCCTTCCTGACGATATAACTCAAGAACGCACGAACCGATTTTGACAATTTTGCATTCGTTGGAAAGGTCTCGGCATGGCATCGCGCCTTAATGCAAGTTGCTGGAACTTCACGCACCGTAATTAAAAATTCGAGTAATGACATTAGTGAGAATTATCAGAATTATGCTTGGTTAAGTCAACAAGCAATTCTTGCCGCAAAGAATAATGATGTACACGCACTGAATTTCACCATTCAATCAAAAATTGCTGCCGATTTGGTGACATACCAATGATTCCGGCTGGTCTTCCGTTTGACTTCAAACGATTGCAATTTCCAGTTTGCCTTGCGTTCGCAATAGCAAGTCGCAAGGCCAATCGCTTAGTGTTTGCGGGATAAATTTCAAACTGATTATTTAGAAAATCATTGTTTTTCAATTGGGCAGTTATACGTTGCCTGTTCACGAGTTGAAAACCATCCGCTTTGTTAGACCAAAAAACAAAAAATGTGGATTACCAAAGAGCACTTCAATGAAACGGATAATTTGCGGATTCACTTTTATTTACTTAGAGAAGTTCGACTAAAAACACTTCATTATTGTAATCGAAATAAATTCATTACTGTTGTGAAATAAAATCAAAATTTTCCTCTTCAAATATAAAACAAACAAAAAATTTCTTCATCTTTCTCACGAAACCATCTGGTGGCAAAACGGAGTTCGTCGGGTTTGCTAGTTTTTTTATAAATCTAAGATGGGGCTCAACCGAATAAAGGTTGGGAAACCCTGCTTTAAAGGCAACAGATAAATTATTTTATGCTTTATTGTTTTATGTTTTAATTTTAATACATTGTTTTGTTATTACAGCTTGCTCTTTCTGGTGGATTAAGCCCATTGATGTTAAGCTGCTGCCGAAAGGAATATCCTGGATCTAATGAATATTGTGTTGCAGCTTTCAAGGTACCCACTTATATATAAATACAATTTTTGAAGAACATCGTTTAATTTCCTGAGTTATTTTAGTAAAATAACGAATGTTGCCTTCACTTCTGTAGGATTAGGAGCTATCTACCCTACGTTGGTGGAATAAAATAATAACGTAATAATAATTATAATAATTATACTTGTAATGCCTGAAAGTATTTTTCTAATTGTAAACTAAGATAATCATCAACTCGAAATCTTAAAGGGGTAGATTTTTTTGATTATCTACATTACATGCATAATAATAATTTGTTTTAATGAACTAAGAGACAAATTTATTTCCATCTACTAAAATTCAATTAAAGAACAGACATGCAACAGCCTCAGCCAACTTGAACTTTTTTTTTAATACTGTTCTTTAAATTTATATTTTTTTAAAAAATTTCAAATATTTTTTTAATATTTAAATTCAGATATTTATTTAATTCTATAACAGTGTTATTTTCTAGGATGAGTATAATGAGAAGTATCAAATTAATATTTTATAGTTGGTTCGATGTACGTTTATAATGGTTTATAACTTAAATCTCATATCATGTGAAAAATTTAGGCCATTTGCTGAATTCATTGTAAAAAAAATGGAAGTGGTTTTATACAAAACAAAATTTCTTAGGTATTTTGTTATTATTAGGATAGTTACTTATGGAACACATTTTGTATTTCTAAATTAGGTTTAAGTGAATTTTTGTCAAGTTTTCAAAACTTTCCGAAATGTATAAATATTCGATTTAATCAATAAGAATTGAGACTAGCCACTTTTAAAATAATAATAAAAACTATATTTGCGATTTCTAACTGATATTCGGCACGTTATATGTTTTGGGTGCATGACCCAATATTGCAAATTTTATTAAATTTTTATAAATTTCAAACTTTGCTTATAATATTTTAGGATGTTAGTTTAGGTCAACAATTCTATCATTATGCAAAGATTAATTACTATCTGATACCTTTAGAACGGTTTTTGAATTTTTAAAAATTAGTTCAAAACTTACTCTTTGCTTTCAAGAAGTGTTTTATCAAATAGCTTCTTTATTAAAACTATATTGAGCGCGCATTGTTTCCATTCCAACCTTGACCATTTCGATATCAAGCAGTATGGTGACAAATTTTTACTAGTGGACTATAGATCACATTTGAAAACCATTCTTCATGTGCATTGTTGCATATAAAAATACGAAGTCGAAAAATACTATTAAATATAGTCGTAGTAGGTGTTCCATGATATAATGGTTAGGCTCACGGACTCGTGTGGACTGGGTCTTGAGTTTGAACTCCGTTCTGGACAACCTGACATTGTTCAGTATAGCGATGTCCGTTTTTACCTGAAAATCAAAAATATGTTTCCAATTGAACCAATTTCGGGCACTGTGGTGTGAAATGGCAATGGGAAATTTCTCACGCTATTCTTTTCTGATTCGAGTTGGTGTTTAACTCAGCTAATAGACCTGCCCGAGGGCAATACTATCATTATAATCATAGTATGACCAACTACTAGTTCCTCCAAAAACAAGCAATAAGTTGTCAAGAGAATTACTGATAGTTCTCGCAATATGGGCAGATTGTAATTTAAAATATTAATATAAATAAGTATTGGAAGTCGTTGCAGCCATTTTTGAGAACTTCAAATACAAATTCTAAGGAATAAAATTACACACACACTTTTTCGAATTTTGGTCTTAGACGATTCAGAATGGCTTATAATGACAACATAAAATTAGTGAATTAGATTTTCTGTCACTAACAAAGTTAAAAAACAAATGAATCCAATATTCCGATATTGGCTTCTGTAGCAATATTATTACTACATAATGCATTTGATTAAGTAAATAAATATAAATGTGACTAAAAGTGTTATCCGGATGACTTTGATTTTATTTCTTTATTGCTTTTTTCAGATCATCTGCATTTTAGCTAGTGCTTTAGCTACAGTATTATGCTTTGTGGCTTGCCTTTACGCAGTTCTGCACCTTAACTCCCTATCAGATATGACTTGTGAGCCTGGTAACCTGATGAACACAACCTGCATGTGTCGCCCATCTGGTGAACTGATCGCCCCCGAAACTCGAGCCGAGGCCAGGACTCAATTTAAAACATTGGATTTAAATAAAGACAAGCTCCTCATTCAAAATGTGACGGAATCCCATACAAGGAATGATATGACAGTATACTGGTATTATTATAAAGATTTGAATTGTCAAGATGTCCAAGGGCCGTGGACAGCATTGATGTACGTTTCTGCTACGTTAAACGGAGTAGGAGTTGTCGTTTGTTCAGTATTTCTGTATCTGTTCTGGGCCAGCCGAAAAGAATACAAGTACGCCAAAGTCAAAACGAGAGATAACCAGAACATCGTCATCCACCAGGCTGACTCATGATGTCTCTGAGGGATTTTATTGTTTTGTACTTAAGGATTTTATGAAATTTTTATTTAGGAAAATGCATTTCAATGTTAAAAACAGTGTTCATCGTTCGAATGAATGTATATCGTCCATATTGTGTTGTATAATTAGTTTGTAAATTAATATTGTTAATTATAGATAGTGAACGCTATAAAATGCTTTTTACATGCCGTTAAAGATTAAAATTTCAAGAATACAATTTGCATTTAGTAGTAATCGTTTGTTAATTACAAAGAAATTCAAATATATACTTGGCCTATATAAGAACACTCTGTATAACGTTTCACATATGTTTTGATTAGTGCTATGGAAATGATAATTTATATTTTTTTACAATTTATTTATAAATAAATGTACATAATTGAGTAATATAATTAATAAACGCATCTGTATATTTAATAGTCTGTATAAGTGAAATTATTTTAATAAACTTTTGATTTTTTTAATTAGGAAGATGTGGCAACAGCGACAAGAATTCAAATCAGATTGGCCAGAATTTGAGGATTTGAGGATCAGTCTAGTATAGTTAGACAGCATGAATTAAAATAGTCAATCAGAATAGTTAATTGTTCTGTAAAACTTGACTTTAAGATGGATCTTTTAAAGAAAACATCGATTAGTTTTACTAAACTCTTAGCGAATGGATTTGATGACTTTTTATTTGTTTCCAATAAAGAATTTGCTTTTGCATTCTACGCTGTTGACAAGTTTATTGGATTATTACTCGCAATTCTTCAGGATAAAATTACAGTACTTCAAACTCAATAATATTTTTTATTTTATAGTACTAAGATGAAAGAAAATAACGAAAAATGCTCATGTCTGTTGGAAGCAGTTAGTCTTAAACTTAGATTTTGGCAGCAAACATTTCACCACTTCAGAATATTTTTTGGATATCATAAATCGAAGGGCCTAGGATTTATGTGAGTTGTCTAATTTAAGGAGGTTGTTCGGTTTTTATTTTTTTTCGATTTTGAGATTTTTTGATATTATGAAAGCTGAAAACCTTAGAATTATTTTTAAAAAAAATCATCTAAATATCTATTTTTTCAGGAAGTTATAGATATATATCTCTATATATAATCCTCTGAAACCGTTTTTTTCATCGCTCCGCAAGCTATTGTATGCCAGCTGCTCTCTTTTTCATTATAATACCTCATGCACGTGACCTTTTTAATGTGTCAGCATCTTTGAACACCATGGTGTATTTAGTACATTAAATTAATGGTGTATTTAGTACATTATATTAACTTTAAATACGTTTTTCTCAAAATGACTTTTTTCAATGCGGTGCCACAAATTAAAAAAAATCTACAGGTCGAATGGACTTGCATTTTTTTAATTTGTTCACCATTGCAATACCTAGTCGCCCTACCTCAAGCAACTTCATAACATTACGCAAAAAAATTTTGCGAAGCTTCTCGTCCCAAAAAAGGCTCTTTTGAACACTTTTTTTTAATAGCTGCCATTTTTTTCCTTCTTGCTTTTTTTCTTTCATTTTGGTAGGGGGACTGGATTCAAACTTCTTTTTCAACGTAGTTTTTTTTT